GCGCTTTGGCTGCTAATGCAATTTCAAAAAAAAAAAAAAAAAAAAAAAAAAAAAAAAAAAAAAAAAAAAAAAAAAAAAAAAAAACAGTGGGCAAGTGGTGTAAACGGCAGTGTAGTAACTTCGGTTTGGTAACTATTTCATTAGAGTCATTAATTGAAGAGAGAAACAATGGAAGTGATGTCATGTGGTTTTTCAGACTTTTTGGGTGGCGACTACATGGTAACAAGCTTATGGGTCGACGTGAGGCCATTGGGGAGACTCAGACATTCGTATGCGATATATATATATATATATATATATATATATATATATTATATATAATATATTGTTGTGCATATGTACGTATACATTGCATTCACACACACACCACACATATTGTGTGTTTGTGCGTGTGTGATGTTTGTGTGTGCCGTGTAACGTACGTATGTATGTATATATACAGACCATCTCTGCTATCCCCTGTCTGGTTTACTGGTTCCGGCACATTTCCTGCCAGCGCTCGTGGGTTCTACGCGAGCAACTCAAAATATATAACCTTCATTGCACTCATAGCTTTTTGTTCTTCTTAGATTAAAAGAAAGATTTTGGGGCGAAATAGCTTTTTGGAATGATGTTGGTGTTGATAACTGACATCGAAAGTGATGATGATGTTTGGTAATAATAATGATGATAAGGATGATGATGATAGTAATAATAGGATAGGCTCACACATGACTAGGGACAGATACGCGGGGCAGGACTTAAGGATGTCTGAATAAAGATGTGGGCTATAATGAGTGTTATGATAATGGCAATAATAATCATCATAATTGTAATTACAATAACTGACTAAAAAATACTGGCTAATAAGAAGTATCAGCAATAATACATGATATGATACTGCTTATTAAATAATTAACGATGATAACAGTAATAATAATATTAGTATTGATATTAATGTGTGATAATAAAGTTATGTTGGTAGTCATAATATATTAGGATGATAACGTTAGAAAAAGATAATAATATTATCTGTATCATCATCACTAATATATCATTATATCCTCATAATTATTATATCTAATACATCAGTAATGACAGGTAATCAGGAAATCAATAATGATATAACAAATAAACACATAATAATTTCCGCGTGCCAGCCGAGTAAAATACCCGCCGTTTAACATACCAGCTGAAGTATACTCCCCGAAAATATAACGGCCCAGGTTTATCTTATATATACTGTATATCCTCTTACTACGGCGTCGGTTACCGAGAGTACAGTAGTGCTTTGGTGGAAGTCTGGCCGCTTATGGACTAGAACAGTGAATGGAAGTGGCTATTTTTTTTTTATTTTTTTTTTTTTATTATTATTATTAATTATTTAATTTATTATTATTTTTTTAGTTTTTTTTACAGAGATAAATTACGCTAAGATTGGCATATGGTATAGCCAGGGTTAAAAAAGGGAATGTTTATGATATGCTGGTGGTACTAGTGTTCGTTGTATGCTTACTGTTTTTTAATGACTTCGTTATATTCGTATCAGCCAGACATTTATTAGATTTTGTTTTATTTATCAATTTTTCATATACATGCATACACACACAACAATGATGCGCAACAACACACACACACAACACACACCACACACACAATGGTCACACACCAAGTGATAGTTCTCACAACACAAACAACAACGACACACATATATATATTAAAACTATATATATATATATATATAATATATATAATATACATATATATATATATTTATATATATATATATATAGTACATATATATACATATATATATATATATATATATATATAAATATATATATATATATATCATAAAACACAAGGTTTTGTTGACATGGTTAACAATCATTATGTTATTATAATCATTATAAGAATGAGATAAAAATAACAGTGATAAGGAAGATTGATGTCATAAAAAATTTCATGTAAAATGACTCCATCGATAATAATAGTTGACAGTAATTGTTCTAAAGTATCTGACGTACGCATTACGATACTACTTTCACCTCTTCTCCTCCATCATTTCCTCTTTCTCTAACTCCTGCCTATATTCTTCTTTCTTTACTCACAATCATCTGTTTCTTCTATTTCCCTACATCGTCTTATATTCTTACATTTCTCTCCTTCTCCTCCTTCCACCACAACAACAACGCCATCTTACGTCAGGCTATTTACACAAGACAAAAGAAAACCTGATCCAAACGTGAATCTGGTTTGTAAATTCATAAGAGAGTTCGAGCTACACTGGGGAATATTGTCTTAGTCTATAGAAGGCATTGCTCTTGCAGAATAGGTTTATGAATTTATTATTTGGATGAATAAATAAATAAGAGTGTTTGTCTGCCGTGCAATGAATTCAGAATCGATGGTTGCATGTGAGATTCAACGTCGAGCATGTATGTGAATAAATGGTTTGTGTGTGAGAGAGAAAGAGAGAGAGAAAGAGAGGGAAGAAAAAGGAGTAGAAGAGAGAGAGAAAGAGAGGAGAGAAAAATAGAGAGAGAGAGAGATAAGGAAAGCGAGGAGAGAAAAGAGAGGGAGAGAAAGAAGGAGAAGAAAGAGAGAAAAAGAGATATGAGATAGAGAAGAGGAGAGAGGAGAGAAAGAGAGAGAAAAGAGATATGAGAAGAGGAGAGAAAGAAAGGAAAGATGAGAAAGAAGAGGAGAGAGAAAGAGAGAGAGAGAGAGCAAGGTAGAAGATACGTGTACGCATAAGGTACGACCTACGTCTTTTCTTTCTTTTTTCTCTCTGATCTATTATTGTATTATACTGTGATAAAGTAGGACTGATAGATCATGGATAGAGTAGAGGAGGGGATAGGCCTTTGAGGCTAAAGACATTACGCAGCAACCATCAACATCAACAGGCTAGAAAAGAGATAGGAGAGGATAGAGAGAGAGAGAGAGAAAGAGGGGGAGGGAGGTAGGAGAAGAGAAAGTGAGAGAGTTAGAGAGAGAGAGAGAGAGAGAGAGAGAGAATGAGGAGAAAGAGAAAGAGAAGAGAGAAGATGAGGAGAGAGAGAGAGAAAGAGAGAGCGGAGTAGAGAAGAGGGAAGAGGAGAGAGAGAGACGAGATGTGAGAGAGAGAGGAGAGAGGAGAGAGAAAAGTGAAGAAGAGCACGCAACGAGTAGTAGGAAGGAGAAGAGGCAGGAGAGATAGAGAGAGCAGAGATGGCAGATATGGAAAGAGACAACTGCAGGGACGCACACGCTGGCTAGACAGCGGGAGTTGCGTCGCACGCGCGCGCAGCGGAGGTGGGTAAGCACGTAGAGTTGCGCAGAGGGTTGCAGTGGTAGCTAAAGAGAGGCAGAGAGAAGGGAATAGAGTAGAGAGAGAAGAGAGAGAGAAGAGAGGAAGAATGAGAGAGGAGAGAGAGAGAGACGAGAGAGACGAGAGAGAGAGAGAGAGAGGAAGGAGGGAGAGCGAAGAGGAGACCTAGAGAGGAAGAGAAGAGAGAGAGCGAGAGAGAGCAGAGGAGATGTAGAAGGAGAGGAGGAGATTGAGGAGAGGAGAAGAGAGAGAGAGGAGGAGGGAAGATAGCTGATTCATCGGATCTGTCTAGCCACGGATGTTGGCTTGAAGCGATCGAGCGCTTTTGGTGGTCGAAGTAGTGGGCTTGGTGCATGAGGTACAGCGAGATAGTACTAGATCATTAGAGGTGATTTGAGGATTGCAAAGGCGAAGGCCCGTGGGAGGTGAGAGAGGGGCTTAAGTGACAGGAAGGGAAGGGAGGGCGGCGCGAGGCGAAGGCGATCGTACTGACTTGCTACACGGTAGTGTGCTGACGTGTTTTAGGTAGAGGAGGGGGAATAGGAGAAACTGAGATCATGCAGTCTTTACGGGTTATAGGCACCAATTTCCCGACAGCGAACGCGCGTGACAGGTGAGTGGCAAGGCAGGTAGTCCTCGGGCGACGGCAAAGTACAGTGTCGATCGCCGAGGTAGAGTAATAGACGGACTGAGGCGACCAGGCGGCTGGTGATTCAAATGGACTCTCCGCGGGAGGCCAGTAGTAGTTGGACTGGCTGTGGAGTTTATTAATTAGCCCGCGCTATTCCGGAGCGTGTGCTATGGGTCTGTGGGGGCGGTGTGATGCACACGCCAGCAAGTGATATCACTAGAATGTAATGGCCGCTCTTGAGAACATTGGAGGGCAACTCAGTTTATGGAGGAAGAGAGTGATATTGATGGGATTCGCGATTGGCTTGAGTAAGCCGCTGTTGTTG